TGCACAAATTTGGTATACTATCTGAACAGTCACTCAGCCATTTACACCTGTTTTTTTCTAACAAGATCTTAGAAATAATTGAGTCTTCACAATTGCAAAAGAAATGGTGGGAGAAGTGAAGAAACTTGCAAAATGTCTTTTTGTGGCACCTCATGTCACATCACAAGCTGAGTCTTTTCTGCAGCTGCTTTTTCCTTATGTAACTGTAAATATTTTTATAATATTACCTTGCCTGGTTACTTGGCACCTTGAAGATCCTCATTCTCTTTACAGAGTCCCAGCACAACACATTTCATCAGGACTGTTCCACATGAGTACCACTAGCAAAATTTTGAACAGTATCCTAGAAAGCAGACTCAGCAGATAATTAAGTGGGCATGCAACACACCAGGATCTTCTGGTGTTGGTAGTACAGTGAGCAGTGATGATGGAGCCTGTCTGATGTGGCTCTTACTGTCCCTCAAACACTGAGTCCATGTTGCAGTCTCTCCATAAGGCTATGTATCTCTTGTCTGCTCTGCTGTTCTCATGAGGCATATGTGAAACTTATAGCACTTCTGATATTGTAATTGGGTGAGGTGTTCAAGATGAGACATACCCATGCATACCACATAACTATGTAATTTTCATGCTCTTTAGGAAACACAGACATAAAAGGAGTAGTGTGATCTTTGGAGCTTCAGAAATCTAGGGAGCTGATTTTATGTTTTTATCACAACCTTGTGGAGAGTGATACAAGAATGTGGCTTCCAGCTGATAAAAACAACTGGAAACACTTCTTTTAAAAGGTTGTTGAAAATTTTTCCAGGGAAGAGCCGTGGAAATGACTGATGAACTGGAGAAATTGTTTTCCTGGGAGGGGCTTCCATCTCTGCCTTACCAAGAAAAGCAAGAAGAGTGTTGGTTATGTGTATTTAATACAAGACCCAAAAAGGCTGCTCAAGCTAACAAAGAAAGTCTTCTGAAACCTAAGGGAGGGAGATGCAAGCCAGACAAACTAAAAAATAAGAGACAAAGAAAAAGGCATGCATTTTTATTAGCAATGAAAATGATCACACATTCGGGCAAGAGAATAGTTCAGACTTACAACTCAAGACTGGCCTGCCCACTTTCTGGAGGCAGTCTCCCAAGCACGAGTCATTTAACTCAGTACCATGCTCTGTGCTGTGTAGAAGGTCAGCTTAGGTGGTGTAATGGTCACATGTGGTGGTAAAATGTCCAGACCTATTGTTTGTGACCAAGGGAAAAACACTTACACTTTGTCACAGCACTGAACTTTTTAATTACATGCAGAAACATCTTAATAATTTATACTGCTGAATATCCTGCTGTTCGTGGCTGGAATCAGTGACATCCAACTCAGTGAATTCAATATGGTGAGGAGATCCCGAGTTGCCTGTTTTGCTGGGACCCACTCCAGAATGTGGTGTCACCCTCTCTGTTCAGCCTCATCATCAAAGGTAGATTAGCTAGGGAGTGCAATCCCATGCCTGCAGAGAGTGTTTGCAGGATAAGGCTTTGATGCGTCATTTCTAGTGCAACATGTTGTTTGTTAGTGAGTGAAATACTTAGAAGTCTAGGTCTGTTGGTAGAATGTCTCTGAGACCTTGAGATGAGAAGAGGTCCCTTACTCTGCAGTTGTGCTCCCCGTTGCCAGCCAAATCCCTGCAGTCATCCATGGGAGCCCCCTTCTGTGAGCACAGGTGTGTGGTTATTGTATAACACTGCAGCCTCTTTTCAGCATTTACCTTTGTTTGAATTGCTCAGTCTTATTTAATATCTTATGTTTTATTTTTCTCTTTAAGTGTTTCAACTTGACTTAGCTCTTAGCTTAATGTAATGTATTTTTTACAGTAATCAGACAAAATCATTTAAACCAGGATGATGTGCCTTTAATAAGTACAAATGGCAACTCAGAGGCAATCACAATTTAGAGTCAAAAGGAGGAAAATACATAGCCACTGTTTGAATGTTTCTGTATCTTTGCCTGTGAGACAATGTTATGAGACCATTTCTTTGGTAATTCAGTTATGCCACCTTTTTGTCCAAATTCTGCTTTATTTATCAATGTAAATCCATTATAATCTCTTAGACTTCAACACAGGTAAGTGGCTGTGTCCTGATACTAACTGAAAGTAGATTCTGACCTGAATTTTTCAGTGTATCTCCTACTGAAATCTCCTCTACTGAAGACAAGTGTCATTATGGCTGGGGCTCTGAGTGTGCTAAATGGATTTTTTCCTTAGCTCCTATTTCCATCACATCATATGTGTTTCATTGTTCTTATATTTAATCGCTGCCCATTTAGTCACATTTACTGTCATTCCTTACTTGTTTAGTAAATTGGTGCAGCTCAGAAAGGTAACAGGGATAGATGGATGGATAGAGTGTGACAAGGTGCAAATATATTCTGCACAGATCTCTTCTGCAGCTTGCTGTGTTTTGGTTTTGGCAGTTTGGTTTATGGGATGAGCTGCTTATTCAAATAGTTGGTTTATAGAAGAACATTCAGCAGCAGCTCTAAGTGTATTACAGAGAAGTATTTTATGTGTTTCTTACTTATTTTTACTCCATTGTTTGTGAAGTCCTCCAGGAACTTCACAAAAACCCTTTGTACTGCTAGGGCCAATGTTGGGGGTGTGCTGGGTTCAAAATAGAAAGGACCCCCACAAAATTCAGAAAGTCAGTGGTGCTCATCACCAGGTCTTTGGCAGCTGTGGAGAGCACCAAGTGAAAAATTGCCTCTGGTGCAGTTTTGCTGCTGATGCCAGTAGGACTACTCCCTGCCTATGGGCTTTGTGGATATTTTAAGATGGTGATGCTGGTAATGTGGAGTTGAACTTTTCTCTCTCTAGGAAAGGAAGAGAGGTTGCCTCCTGCTGATATTGATCAAGCAGAGGGAAAGAGAAGAATTCCCCAAGAGGCAGAGTTGAATGGCGGGTTTGGCAGGGGATAGGGGGGAGTACTCATTTATTACTAAGCATTTTTTAAAGTGCAGGTCATGAGGTGTGCCACGCTTCTGTGCTCAGATGGCATGCTTGGGCAGCAGTCCTCTCTATGTGTCTGCCTTGTGTCTGGTATTAGCAGAGGTGAGGGATGCCGGTTAACTTGTGTCCATGGGGAAGAGGTGTGTTTTGGTTCACACATATCTTGTGCTGACTCTTATTTTGTGCTTGACTTGACAAGCCAGTGCTGAGGAGGAAATGAAAACAAAAATCCCTACTGACTGCAGGGGAGCTACTCAGGTAGCTGGCCAAACAAAGCGTACCCATATGAATGCATTGATGAGTGAAAAACATTGGTACCTTGCAGTCTCATTTCACGTGTATTCAGCTATTAATGAGATGTGTGGCATCTGCTGGGAGACCTGGCATTGGAGGGAGGGGTGAGCAATGCCCCCTGTGCAGTAGCCAGCTGCGGGGACAGGAGCAAGCCCTGATGGGTTTGGTATGGCATGGGGAGAAGCTGGTTTTCATCATTCTGCCCCCAGGGTATGGTGGGCCTGCTTTCGTGCTGGCCTGGGGGTGGCAGCTGGGTCTGGTGGAGGTCTGCTGCTTGGATGTGCTGCCTGCTTAGCAGGCTCATGATGGAGGAGTCTGGACATATCTCTTACTGCTCTGGCTTGGTCCAGCACCAGGCTCCCCTTGCACACACACATGTGGTTACAAAGTGCATTTATACACAGTGCACTTGGTTTACATTGCCGTAGGCTTAGGGTGTGTGGGACACATATTTTTCTCTCGTAGATCATGGGCCCTTTCTCCAAATGCTGGTGACAGCAGTGAGGGCAGGCTGTGCCATTTCTCCCCATTGTTGTTACTAGCAGCACTCCATTTTCCATCTTTTAGTAATTGAGGCAAAGTGGTTTCTGCCTAAGTGGTCACCCAGTTTGGAACAGTCATGTGGTCAATCAGGGAGGCAGGAGTTGGTCTGTATCTGAATGTATCCTAAATTGTTGGTCGGATTCAGTCCTGGTCCCTGCAGTTAAGCATCCAAAGTGAAATTCATGCCTTTTCAGAAGCCAATTTGATGCCTGTGCACTGCTATTTAATTTGCTGTGTTTAGGGTTTAAGTTGCAAATAGGGTTTGTCCAAGCAGGGTTACATTTCAGTGTTTGCAAAAGCAGCTAAATGCACCAAGGTTAAATTCATCACCAGATGCTGACTGTTTTGTATGGTTTCAGCAACACAAGTTGTCAACCCTGTTGAGTTGGCCAGTTAAACTGCCCTTAGAGCTGCTTTATTTAGCTTGAACATTGCAAATGGATTATGTCTTCTACAAAATTTGGTACAGTCTTTTAAATATTAAATCTCTTAATGGAAACTTTTGCTGAAAGGAAAATGTAAAATGAACGAACAAAAATGCTCAAGGTCTTTAATGTTTGAATCAATTGATTCTGGATAGCAATTGAACTAAGGCTCTGTCCTTTATGCTGACTAAAAACTTTGTCCATCTTTTATTTCTTTTACTTTGAGAAATCAAGTAAAGTCATGTTTGCGAGAATGAAATTTCTCATTGTAACTCTAGTGTAGCACAGAGATGGAAAGCAGTTGAACAGGTGGTAAGAGAAACAGAATAAGTTGGATTTATTGAAAGAGGGCACATTTTGTCTTCTTGGATTAGGTTAATGTTTTAAATTTTTGGCTTTGGATGAGAGAGTTCAGCTATTGTTAGAGTACAAGAAAGGTTTTGTTTGTTTTCTGATTACTTGTATTCATGTTTTTAAAAAAGCAGCCTTGGCTGTTATGTATACTTCATGGCCTTTTCCCAAGTGACTCTTAATTCCATGTATTCTTATCCAGCAAATACACTACCTTTCAACTATAAATACATTAACTCAGTGTTTTTGAACAAAGAACGAATGAATGACGCATGTTCCTTTCCACAACATGTACCCCACTCTACAGGCAACCCTGTCTCCATGTGGCTATAAGCATGGGCCCTGTCCCATCCTGGACTTGCAGCTCACTTCTGACCTCCATTCTGTATTCTCTTCACAGTTGTGCAACACATCAAGCGCCACAATATCGTTCTCAAAAGGGAACTGGGAGAAGGAGCCTTTGGGAAGGTCTTTCTGGCAGAATGCTATAACCTCTGTCCTGAGCAGGACAAGATCTTGGTGGCAGTGAAGGTAAAAAAATCTAGGGTTTCCATTATTAATTCACAGTTTCAACTAATGCTATTTTATTTGTAAATTATCATGTTTGACTATTATGTAGCCCAGTGTAACTGTTCTAATACATGTGGAAGGGTTCACAAGGCTAATGGAGTGTTAAGAGAATGTGATATTTGATCTTGCTGTGGCTTATAAAATGAGAGGTGAATTTCATAAGAAAAAAGGGGGAAACAAACTGTGTCACAAAGGGGCAAAATTGTCTGTGATCTATCTAAAATATAATTAGTGAAAAATAATGTCTGGGTCATTAAAAATACATGTGACGTGTCTAAAAAAATAATCTATTAGTAGCTAAGTAAATAGTTTATGTGTATAACTGCTGGTCACAGGCAACCTTTCTTTTTCAGGATTGTGCCATTCTTTTAGTCAGCCACTAAAATTATCTATGGGTAATTGTCATTAATATAGCTGCCAGGAATGCTAAAAGAAACTTGTGGATAATATTTGTCATGTGCTCTTAAACACTGGCTGTATGTCAGACCTGGAGGAGTCTCCAGTCAACTCTGCCAAAATACAGAATCTCAGAATCGTCTAGGTTGGAAAAGACCTTGAAGATCATCTAGTCCAACCATTAAATAAATACAGTCCAGAGGAGGAGGAAAGTGCATGAAAACAGCTATAACCTTGGAATTTCAAGAATACAGAATAGTTCTCACATTTCTGGGGGGAAAAAAAGGGATTTGTTTGGTTCTCCTAAAAGGCTCAGACTATGTTGTATGTTGGGAATCTACCAAGAAGTAAGAAGATTTCCAGCTTGATCTTGGAGCTTGGATACCAAACCTACTTCACCATACCAAGCCTTTTCATCCCCTAAAATGGAAGGGCTGAGGTTGGTTGTTGACCTCAGGTGTGGATGTATGCTAGAAAACAGTATCAATGAAACTACACTCTTAAGAGTTTGCTGAGTCTCCCTGGCAACAATCTCTTATCTCCATCTGTAGTGTTCTGCCAAAAGCTTCGGCATTTGAAGTATCTCATTAAATGCAGGGGGAATACACATTTAGAATTTGGTCTGTGCCTAGGGATCAGAAAATAGTTTTATTTGATCAGTCACAATCAGGCAACCAAGTGTACATTTCTGATCAAACCATACAGCAAAAGAAATTGAGTATATCATGTTGAATTTGGAAATAAGAAATAGAGTTTTGGATCTGGCAGTGAGAGAACATGAAAAGATGGACTTGTAGAGTGCTTTCTTGCTCCATCAAAAATAACAGGTTTTTGGGGTTTGCCAAGGTTACAAGATTTTTGATGCTTGCGAGTTGTTCGGTCACATTGACTGGTGAGAAGAAATTAAGCCCTGAAGTGGTATGTCATAGACAGGAGAAAGCAAGAGATAACGAGATGACAAAACAAGATCTGAATGAATTTTCTATTGTATTTTGGGGAAGCCAGAGTGGAAATTGCCTTTCCTTTATCACTTCAGGGAACTGCTTGATAGCAAAATAAAAGTCTTTCCATTTACTTGCTCCTTTTGAAAGTCCTGACCAAATGGAGCCTAGTACTTCTGCTGTTAAATGCTGTGCCGCACTTGCTTTCTGCTGCTCTTTCTCAGTGTAATTCACAGGAAAAGCATTCAGCTTTTAAAGGGAGAGATGTCTCCATGGATTTAGATGACAAATCTATCAGTTTTCTGGAACAGTTGTCATACTGGTTTGTTTTTGGGTTTTTTTTAACCAAATCCACTCTTTGTGGTGTCCTTAATAAGAATCTTGCAGTCAGATGTGGAATTACCTCCAAGGTAATTTTCTGTTTCTTGTACTGGATCTTGAAGATGTGACTCTTGCTGCTGTCAAAGAGTGATTTTTTTTTGCAAACTGTGTCACTGGATTGATCCCCATATAACTGAGAGGTTAATTGCCTGGTGTTTCTCACTTTCAGCATGGTACCAACTGTAGTTCACAGGTATGCTCCAGTCACAGTGGAGGTCAAGCAGTGGGACTTCACTGATGTGCAGAGAGGTAGCCGGAGGACTGTGTCTAGACCCCACTACTGGGCACAGGGTTTGGCAGTGAAAATGTGTGACACTTTTTTTATTTTTAGTCTTAGAGGAGCAGACGTGGATGCCAGCAGCAGAGAGCACCTCCTCCTGGCACACAGCAAGGGCTTTAGAGAGCTTCACCCCCGTGGGCAAAACCATGACACACCTGTCTTGATGAGCCCAGCGGGAGTATGGACTTGGTGAGGAATAAGGTGGTGCTAGGGGAATTTTGGCAGCGAAGAGACATGGTTTTACCTGCACAGGGTGGATCAGGATGGCTAGTGGTCCCTGCCAGCTGCCTGTGCCTGCTGGTTGCTGGGCAACTGCAGGACTCGTTCCTGGTCCTGAACATCATGCAATCTGACTCAATACACATCCTTCTCCTTTTCGGCCAGCCAGTATCCAAAATGCTGATGTTACTGCCGCAAATTATTTAGGAGCTAAGAGGCTCAGAAGAATCTGGGAAGATACAAAATCAGACTTAGGATAAACAGTCCAAAGTGCCTGAGCTTTTGCTCCTTGAAAGAGGAGAAAGACAATCTGTTTAAATTTGTTTTGACCATCAGGCTTTTTGTGGGGATCATGAAGTGTTTGGAAATGCTTTCTGTGGGTCAAACCCTGTGAGTTTAACCACAGGTTAAGCTGGCTGCATGGGCATTGTACTAGCCTTCTCCCCAGGTGAATTTGCCCATCACATCACTACACCGTTTGCTGGTTCACTTTTAGAGAACAGAACATGGAAGAAGAAGTTACCATTTCCTTGTGGGCCATTTTGCTATGCCACAGTGGTTGTTCAGGCCTGGATCAGTACTGTCTCCTCATAGGGTTGGATGCCCAGGATCTTGCACTAGTTTAACTCAACTGGAGCTGGAGATGAGGATGACTGTTAGGGCACAGCTTAGAAGCTGCCTCTGTCTCCCCTGGGAGGTTGGAGGAGGATTCACCCAGTGCTGCTCCAGGATTGTGCTCAGCTACAAGACTGGTGTGTGCATGAGGTGAAGAACGTTTCCACAACACTTACAGAAGGAAACCAAAGGTTTCCAGCCCTTTGGGTCTTCAGAGAAGGGTCAAAACCACCTTGTCACTTCTTGAGGAAATATTCCACTAAGCTTTTGTGTGGTGATGAGGAGCAATAATAAGGATTTCACAGGGGAAGGCTGAAACAGTATAAGGGACAACTGTTGTGAGAGTTTCGTTACCCTGAATGTAATGCTGATGAAAGCCATATACTCCTGCATTTGCTCTGGCTCACCCCATGAATGCATCTTTTTGGTATTGAGGTGAGCTAAGGAGCTGGTATTTTGCACTTGCTACAGAGCACAGATCTACAAAGACCAGATGGTATGTGGGTACCTGGGCAAGTAGTCTGTGGAGGAGAATAAGCATGGGTTGGCAGTCCAAATGTCACAAGGATGAACTCAGCAGATGTGGAGGTCCTGTAACAGCCAGGAGATCCTTCTGTTGCCCAAGGGAGCATATCCCTCTTCCTTAGCTGCTGGCCTGAGTGGTTGGAAAGTACGTGTGATTGTATCTCGGTTCCTACTTGGGAAAAACTTGTATCAATTGGTGAGAGTGCTTTATATACATAGCTTTGGCATACCTGTCAGTATTAAATAATAATAATAATGAATATGTCTTTTTCTCTCTTTGTGCTCTTACATTTTTATTTTGTCTCTTGCACTGAGAACAAGCTAAATACATTAATCAGTATAATTTCTATCTAAATTCTATGTATTTACTATTTTTTTCACGTTTCAGTCTCCTCCTTGCCCGACTGTCAGCTGCCTCTCACGTATTGGGTCTATTCTGTGCACTGCATGAAACAATAAAAAGGGGGTTTTGCAGTGGTGGGTGACAGAAATTCAAGTCTCCCCTTGGTAGTAGAAATCCTGCCTGAGTTTTAGCTGGGTTTTAGGCCTTTCTGCATTTTGCTGTTTGACAGAAAATGTGTAATTGCCATAGCAACTGCTCTGTCATATGGTAATTTTTCTGTTTCTGTGAGATAAAAAGCGTCTTCTGAAATATACAATATGCCATTTTCAGAGGGCAGAGCTGTCAGCATTTTTACTGTCTTTCCAGGGAAGGAGTCTGCTGAAAAGAATATCAGCCTGTGCTTTTCCCTGTCTTTTTTTTTTTTTTTTTTTTTTTTTATATGAATTGTTTTTCTAATTCTGTTGAGAAGAATACAGTCCAATTGCTTTATACATGAAACCACCAGAGGAAACTCTAGTGACAACAGAATGTTCCCAATGATTTTGTTATATAGCATAGATTGGACTGTGGGTTGCTGTGTGTATCATGTTAAAGCATTATCCCAGAGCCCAGAAGCTTTGGAAGACATTTCAATTTCAGTCCTTGCTTGATTCGGATGTGATTGTGTGGGAACTGTAGTGGGAAGCTAATTTGATATCTACCTTAGATGGTATAACTGTGTATACTAATATAGCTTGTGAAGCTTTGATGATGCAATATACTTGTTGCATTGTTATTGGTAAAACTTGTGGAAGAAGGGTTCTGGGCCTGAAGACACATGAGATTCATAAGTGGAACCCTCAGGGAAGTGACATCTGTGGCATGAGTGATTTCTGTTGCCTCTAGGATACATAGAGCCTGAAATCCACAGGGAAAAGCCCCCAGACTTGGTAGATGGCTATCCAGTCTGCTCTGCTCCTTCTGCCCCTGTCTGAACCTTATTACGGTACCTGTTAATTAATCAAAACCTGTCCTCAGTTGCTGAGGAGAGGGGCTCCGAAGAGGAGGATGGTGGTAGGGGACCCTTCTGAAAGCGTCAAAACCCCCATGGCAAAACCGCAACCGGGAAGGCAGAAGCCCAGGGAAGAGGGAGAGCCTCAAGTCGCCTCCCCCCTGAGCGGGAAGAGCGAGCTGCGACCGAGGGCAGCGGGGACTCAGGGCGGGAGGAGATGGGAGTGACAACGCCCAAGGCCCTCACGTACAAGAGCAGCCCCCAGGGCCG